TGTTGACCTTTGGGAAAGAGGAACACGCCATAAATGCAGCTGGTCTATTTGTTGGTGGTCATTCATTCAAAGTGATGATGGAAGGAAGGAGGATTAAATATTTTCTATATTTAAAATCACAATTCTTCTTTATTTGAGCTTCCAAAAAGTGGAAAGCTTAGAGGAAGAAGAGAGAAAGAGAAAGTAAAGCGGGTGGCGCTGTGGGTTAAACCACAGAGCCTAGGACTTGCCGATCAGAAGGTCGGTGGTTCAAATCCCCGTGATGGGGTGAGCTCCCATTGCTCGGTCCCTGCTTCTGCCAACCTAGCAGTTCGAAAGCACGTCAAAGTGCAAGTAGATAAATAGGTACCGCTCTGGCGGGAAGGTAAACAGCATTTCCGTGCGTTTCGCCAGAAGCGGCTTAGTCATGCAGGCCACATGACCCGGAAGCTGTATGCCAGCTCCCTCGGCCAATAAAGAGAGATGAGCACTGCAACCCCAGAGTCGGCCACGACTGGACCTAAGGGTCAGGGGTCTCTTTACCTTTACCTTATGTGTGCATAATATTGCCTCAATACCCTCCTTTCTAGAGTTGCTTGAAGTGAATGGTATCTGTGGGGACTTATATTGATCCACTTTTATATTATGAGCAGAGTACTGCTGTGCATGCAGGAGGCTTAGAAGAAATAGAGTTGCCTATCTCCTGGCAAATTAGAACTTTAATGGCAGAAGGGCTTGGATAGTTTGGTGAGCTGAGGTAGACCTCCGCTGTTCATTCCCCAAAGTGAATGCCCTCAGGATGAAGGTGGCTTTCAATCCAGTGGATCAAAGGTTTCACTGTTTGTCAAAGAGGTGCCAGGATTTGGTCCTCTTCAACACCTGCCTAGAGATGGTGTATTGAATACCCCCACCCCAATGGAGCCAATGACTAGTAAGTCACCTCAACCACAAATAACTTCTGCCATGGCTAGAGCCATGTTTGGAGGCGGAAGACAACTCACTAATTTGTACCACCCCATCCTATTTAGCATTGAACTAGAAGAGGGAAATCCCCTGGGGGGACTCGGGGGGACTTTGCTGGCAGAAAGGTGTAGATGTACTGCTAGTGATAGCCCCCAAGGTGTACTGCTAGTGATAGCCCCCAAACAAAATATAAATCAGTGACCACAGTGTCAAAAGTGAATTTGTGGTCACATCCAACTTACCCAAGTTCTGTTCCCTTCAAGTGATGGATATTTTTGCACAAGCAAGCCTGTCTCCCCAGCTGCTGCCTTACATTCTTATATAGCCTTTGAGGGGTGGGGCAGTTGTCCTTCTATGGAATACGGATAGAGAAAAGGGTTATTACCAATTCCCCTGAAAACCACAAAATTTGCGTATTAGCATCCAAAGGATTTCTTTCTGTCAGGTGCTAGGAAAGTAAATACTCTAGATATGATCAACATACATAAACAGCATGAGAAAATAGGTCTTTATATAAGGTATATAAAGGAAATGCCAGTGGAATGGGTGTGCTTGTGGTAGGCATGCTCAGGGAAAGCATATTGCAGTGCCTCATTGCTGTGTTGTAGTTCCTCATGCTAAGAAAGGCTGTTGCTATGTGCCTTATCACTATGTGCCTATACCCATCTGGCTGAGTTTCCCCAGCCACTCTGGGTGGCTCCCAATCAATTATTAAAAACAATACAGCGTTAAATGTTAAAAGCTTCCCTGAACAGGGCTGCCTTCAAATGTCTTTTAAAATAGGATAGCCACTTATTTCCTTCACATCTGAAGGGACGGTGTTCCACAGGGTGGGCGCCACTACTGAGAAGGCCCTCTGTCTGGTTCCCTGTAACCTTACTTCTCGCAGTGAGGGAACCGCCAGAAGGCCCTCGGCGCTGGATCTCAGTGTCCTGGCTGAACGATGGGGGTGGAGACACTCCTTCAGGTACAGGACCAAGACCATTTAGGGCTTTAAAGGTCAGCACCAACACTTTGAATTGTGCTCGGAAATGTACTGGGAGCCAATGCAGATCTCTCAGAACTGGTGTTATGTGGTCCCGGCGGCCACTCCCAGTCACCAGTCTAGCTGCCGCATTCTGGATTAATTGCAGTTTCCGGGTCACCTTCAAAGGTAGCCCCACGTAGAGTGTGTTGCAGTAGTCCAAACGGGAGATAACTAGAGCATACACCACTCTGGTGAGAACAGTCCATGGGCAGGTAGGGTCTTAGCCTGCGTACCAGGTGGAGCTGGTAGAAAGCTGCCCTGGACACAGAATTAACCTGCGCCTCCATGGACAGCTGTGAGTCCAGAATGACTCCCAGGCTGCGCACCTGGTCCTTCAGGGGCACAGTTACCCCATTCAGGACCAGGGAATCCCCACCACCTACCCACCCTGTCCCCCGAAAACAGTACTTCTGTCTTGTCAGGATTTAACCTGAATCTGTTAGCCGCCATCCATCCTCCAACCGCCTTCAGGCACTCACACAGGACACAGCCTTCACACTGGTTCTGATGGTTTACAAGCTATTTATGAGTAAAACCAGGAAATCAGAAGAGCTTGTTCTGTTCAAAGAGAATTAGGCGAATCTTTAACGGATTTCTTCATAGCAAAATATTTTTCACATTTTTCATATACAAAATGACAGATGTAATAGATGTGGCCTGTGACTAGATTTCCTTTCTTCCTTTTGCAAAATGAAGCAGTTTGGGCAGCGCGGGGGCGGGAGTGTTTCCTCAGGAGACTATATTGTGTTCCTGTTGGATTAAAGCAACAAGGCTTGCAATCTCCTCCATGAACCAATTTGAGGGGTATGTTTTATACTAAAGTTGTGTCATCTGTACTAATGCCATGCTCTACAAATATAAACCATCTATAAAGTCCAGACTAGCACCCATCATTCCCCCAGTGCAGGTGCTATGCGCTAAAGGAATGACGGAGACCAAAGATCAACACCAGAATAATCATGGCAATACAAAGAAACAATGTCAGTTCTGTTTCTGGTACCAGATTTGAGTGTAGTTTTTTTTTGTAACATATTTTGAGAGTGGCTTGGGACTTTGAAGTGGGGTGTGAGTGTTCTAAAGGAGTCATTAATTCTAAAGCACTACCTTTGAAGTGGGACGAGAGTTCTTTGGTGGTTTTATTCACAGTGATCCCATTCAGACACACAAGACATCACATAGAATCAAAGAATTGTAGAGTTGGGAAGAATCCCTGTGGTCATCTAGTCCAACCCCTGCAATGCAGGAATCTCAACTAAAGCATCCATAGTGTTCAAATCATCCACGTGTGTGAACCGGTCTTGACAAGTCTTAGTTAAACTTTGACCAGTATTATTCAGGCTGGCCCCAAAAATGTTTTTATTTGTGAGTGCTGTCATTGAGGGAGTGTAACTGGTATTTTATTTTATTTTTTTAGCAGAAGGGTTTGCTGACCCTTTAGAAAGCATGTATTGCTGCTAGTGCTATTAATAGCAATGAGCTCAAAGGTACTATCATGTTTCACACACCAAATATACTAAGGCATATTTTAATATTTGAACAGCACACCAATGCAAAGGTGGCAAGCAATGGTGCTTCCCCCACCCCCCACCCAGGAAGTTGCCTTGGTCCAGCATACCTATATCATTTTCCAGGAAAAGGTGTTTACCATCGGAACAAGAATATCAATACTGATGAAGATGCAACTGAATTAAACTTCACCCAGCTTGCAAGGGTGGTCTCTATTACTGGGGCATCAAGGATTACTATTACAGTGGTACCTTGGGTTAAGAACTTAATTCGTTCTGGAGGTCTGTTCTTAATCTGAAACCGTTCTTAACCTGAGGTACCACTTTAGCTAATGGGGCCTCCCACTGCCGCCCGATTTCTGTTCTCATCCTGAAGCAAAGTTCTTAACCCGAGGTACTATTTCTGGGTTAGCGGAGTCTGTAACCTGAAGCGTCTGTAACCTGAAGCATCTGTAACCTGAGGTACCACTGTATTTTGTAAAACCCATTAATGACTGGAGCATCCAGTACTATAGATGCACCGACTTCTGCCAAAATATGGATGCTGTTACATACTCCTTCCATAGAGATGTTGTGAACAATGCTCCCTGGAGGAATGGCTATTAGCCGAGGCCCATCTTATGGTAAGTGGGAAACTATCAAGACCATCTCCAATGACTCACAACACTCCCATTGTATGGAATAAGAAGATCACCAAGAAAGTGGGATGCAACAAGCAGAAGATGACCAGTGTGGAGCACAACTGGAAGATTTCCCTGACTGCCTCATATGAGTCAGGCTTGCTCACTAAGGCCATTGCCAAGTAGCAGTTCTCTCTCACTGCTGAGTATGGTGGGAAGAGGGTCAACACAGAGCAGGAAAACTGGAATGAAGCCACTGAGATTGAAGAGTCTCTTTATGTGACCCTGCAGCTCAATGAGAAGATGTACATATGGCAATACCAGCTGGGCTTGGGCAAGGAAATGGTCTTGTTCTGCCATGATATGAAATTTACAGGTGATTCTACTCCACCTACAGATATTCCTTTGCCACCTTCTAATAAATGAAATACAGTGGTACCTCGGGTTAAGTACTTAATTCATTCCGGAGGTCTGTTCTTAACCTGAAACTGTTCTTAACCTGAAGCACCACTTTAGCTAATGGGGCCTCCTGCTGCTGCTGCGCCGGCAGAGCCAGATTTCTGCTCTCATCCTGAAGCAAAGTTCTTAACCCGAGGTAATATTTCTGGGTTAGTGGAGTCTGTAACCTGAAGCGTATGTAGCCTGAGGTACCACTGTATGGTAGGTCAACAGGAATGCTCAAAGGCTTCCTCCCCATTTAGGGATCTTTTATTAAATTTGGGTGATTATTGTGGGCTAAAGTTTAGAAAATATAGAGCTCTCACAGCACTAGAAAATGATAGATATTCTAAGTTCCGCTGATTATATTTTGTTCCTGGAAGACTGCACGCTGAGAAGGGGAGTGGGAGGGTTTTTTGTGGTTGTGTCTCTGCTTATCAATATATATTTTTTTAGTTCCAATGTAGGAGGAGCGGTACGTAGTTTCTCATTAACCCATAGCCTCTTCTATCCTATTTAAGCAGCAAGTGTTCACACATTTCCCTCATTCTCCACCAAGAGAAGCAGCTGCCACCTACTACAAAACTTTCTGTCTGGATACCACGAATACTGGTAAGTCTTGGAGATTTACTGGGCAGGAGTGGAGAGAGATAACTTTAGAATTTGGGGCACAAGGGAGGGAATGCTTTTTGTGGACCTGCAGTCTAACTACCTCTTTATAATTATAAAGGTTATAATTATAAACTCTAAGGTTTTTATTTCAGCAATAACAGTACAAGTTAAATGAAGTTCCTTTTAATAATCCAATAACCGCTCTACTAAAACAGACCATGTATTCCAGCAACAGACCTTGAATCTAAAAATGACATCAATCCATACTCAAGCAGAATCTCTCTCTGCACAGCTGAAGCAAAATCCCAGGGAGTTCCAGGGGCTGCTTCTTTGTGGACCTGTAGTCTAACTACTTGTTTATAATTATTGAGTGCCAATGAAATTCCCTGTGTGATATTGAAGTGACATGGCCTTCCACAGGGGCACAGGAAGGGGGGCAGGCCCCCCGGGTGCCATCTCTGAGGAGGTGTGACAAGAAGGCACACCTCAGGGGTCTCGCCTGCCACCCCAGACACGCACCGCCATCCTGCTGCCGCAGACGCATGTGGAGGATCCTGTGCTCCCAGCTGCACTCTCCTCCGCTCGAGCGGTGCCATCGGCAAACCAACCAGTGGCGCATGCGCAGCACCGCTCAAGTGCCATACAGTATACCCTAACCCTCCACCACTGCTGCAGCACGAGCGAAGGATCCCACTGACTCCGCTGCAGCTGCGAGCAGAGGATCCCGCTGCCATACATACGGTGTGCACACATGCATGGTACATAGCAGCGCACACATGGTACGTAGCGGCACCTGCGCATGCGCCGATGAGTGGTTTGCCCCACCCCCCTACCCTGGGTGCCTGTTCTTCTTCCTTCGCCACTGGCATCCCTAAGGCTTTAGGGATTGGTATCTCTGGTCCCTCCAGCAACCAGAACTCCCTTCATTTACTCAGTCTCCTCTAAACGTCATGAAACACCTTGCAGGATGAGATCATGATGTGATCCAGAGGAAGAATCCCCATTCCTACCAGATTCTGAACTCCTATGCAACATCTTGGGTTTGGAAGGGGCCCATGGGTATCTTTGAGAACGCAGATGGGACTGGAAGGGGCCTCTGGGTAGGGCAAGGATTCAGCAACAGAGAAGCTGGAGCTCCCTGGAACATTTCTTTTGTAAATAGCTTATCAAGTTTATCTTATATTAGGAACATCCATCCCGACCTCCAGATCTTTCAGAATACAATCCTATACAAACTGAGTGTTTCTGAATAGCAAGGAGTAGGCTGCATATAATCACCAGGAGAGAATGGCTATCTCAATGCTTTGTGATAATTTATTTCATAAAGTGGTTTTGCATTGTGTGGAAATGTATCTTCTTTTGCCTATCACTGACTCTGCTGTCAGGCTATTTTAATAGGACCTCTTGAGCTCTAGAGTTATGGCACCAGAAGAGGGAGAGAGGAATAGCCACTTCTTTAGTGTCACGCATAATCTTATAAACTTCTATTATGCCCCTCTTTTTATATTCCTGAATCAAAAACACCCAAATGGTGGAGTTTAGTGGCTGATCAGACTACCAGCCCTCCTTGTGCAGAGTGAGGAAGAGACCCAAGAACACAGGATGTATACCTCACTCCAAAGGTTTTTATTTAAGCAATAACAGTACAAGTTAAATGAAGTTCCCTTTAATAATACAACAACCATTCTACTAAAACAAACCACGTATTCCAGCAGCTGAGTTTGAATTTAAAAATGACATTCATGCATATTCAAGAACACTTTCCTCTGCCGAGCTGTAGCAAGATCCCAAGGTGTTCCAGGGACTCACCCAGTGCTCCTTTGGAGAATTGAGGACATGGTAAGAGACTGCCGTAGCTTTAAGAAATATGATTTATACACATATTTTAAAGCTTCAGTCTGCCATGGAGGGGGTGCAGATCTTACAGCATGGCTATCCCAAGCAGGGAGGCTCATCTAGTCTTAACAATCTGCACCTCCTGGACACGTTGGTGTTAGAAGGAACAAATCAGACGCCACAAGAAAATATGAGGGGGAAAAAGAATTGGGGAATCTCTTCTCTTCCCCCACAGCCCCCATGGATGTGTCCTTCCATCCTCTCCTAGCTCTGAAGCTCAGCACTCTGGCACTATAGTACTATTGCTGTAGAGCATTAACTACCGAGGTTGAGGGTAGGCAAGTAAGTTTATCTGCCCCTTCCAGTGCTGTATGGGTGAAAGGGTGGTGTCAGTTTATGCACACAATGAGATAAGCAGCTTCAGATCTGAATTTTGCTGCACTTTCCAAGATATTCTGAGCTGTTAGGCAGTCTCCTCCCATCACAGCTGAGATAGGAAATTAATTAGAACAGCAGTTACCGGCATGGCACTCATGAGTGCCTGGGTGCCCTCGTATGGTGCCCACAAAAGGCCTCAGTAAATATCCCCTCAAAATCCACTGGCTCTGTACAAAGTGTGTAACAAATGTTGGAAATGTAAAGAAAAAGAGGGAACATTTTATCATATGTGGTGGGAGTGTAAAAAGGTGAAATGCTTCTGGGAAATCATATATAATGAACTGAAAAAATGTTGAAATATACATTTGTAAAGAAACCAGAGGCATTGTACATATGGCAATACCAGCTGTGTTTGGGCAAGGAAACGGTCTTGTTCTGCCATGATATGAAATTTACAGGTGATTCTACTCCACCTACAGATATTCCTTTGCCACCTTCTAATAAATGAAATACAGTGGTACCTCGGGTTAAGTACTTAATTCATTCCTGAGGTCTGTTCTTAACCTGAAACTGTTCTTAACCTGAAGCACCGCTTCAGCTAATGGGGCCTCCTGCTGCTGCTGCGCCGGCAGAGCCAGAATTTCTGCTCTCATCCTGAAGCAAAGTTCTTAACCCGAGGTAATATTTCTGGGTTAGTGGAGTCTGTAACCTGAAGCGTCTGTAACCTGAGGTACCACTGTATGGTAAGTCAACAGGAACGCTCAAAGGCTTCCTCACCATTTAGGGATCTTTTATTAAATTTGGGTGATTATTGTTGGCTAAAGTTTAAAGTTTAAAGCTCTCACAGCACTAGAAAATGATAGATATTCTAAGTTCCGCTGATGCTATATTTTGTTCCTGGAAGGCTCTGCACGCTGAGAAGGGGAGTGGGAGGGTTTTCTTGTGGTTGTGTCTCTGCTTATCAATAATTTTTTTTTAGTTCCAATGTAGGAGGAGCGGTACGTAGTTTTCTCATTAACCCATAGCCTCTTCTATCCTATTTAAGCAGCAAGTGTTCACACATTTCCCTCATTCTCCACCAAGAGAAGCAGCTGCCACCTATTACAAAAGTTTTTGTGCAAATACTGGTAAGTCTTGGAGGGCTACTGGGCAGGAGTGGAGAGAGATAACTTTAGAATTTGGGGCATAAGGGAGGGAATGCTTTTTGTGGACCTGCAGTCTAACTACCTCTTTATAATTATAAAGGTTATAATTATAAACTCTAAGGTTTTTATTTCAGCAATAACAGTACAAGTTAAATGAAGTTCCTTTTAATAATCCAATAACCGCTCTACTAAAACAGACCATGTATTCCAGCAACAGACCTTGAATCTAAAAATGACATTAATGCATACTCAAGCAGAATCTCTCTCTGCACAGCTGAAGCAAAATCCCAGGGAGTTCCAGGGGCTGCTTCTTTGTGGACCTGTAGTCTAACTACTTGTTTATAATTATTGAGTGCCAATGAAATTCCCTGTGTGATATTGAAGTGACATGGAGCCTTCCACAGGGGCACAGGAAGGGGGGCAGGCCCCCCGGGTGCCATCTCTGAGGAGGTGTGACAAGAAGGCACACCTCAGGGGTCTCGCCTGCCACCCCCAGACACGCACCGCCATCCTGCTGCCGCAGACGCATGTGGAGGATCCTGTGCTCCCAGCTGCACTCTCCTCCGCTCGAGCGGTGCCATCGGCAAACCAACCAGTGGCGCATGCGCAGCACCGCTCAAGTGCCATACAGTATACCCTAACCCTCCACCACTGCTGCAGCCACGAGCGAAGGATCCCACTGACTCCGCTGCAGCTGCGAGCAGAGGATCCCGCTGCCATACATACGGTGTGCACACATGCATGGTACATAGCAGCGCACACATGGTACGTAGCGGCACCTGCGCATGCGCCGATGAGTGGTTTGCCCCACCCCCCTACCCTGGGTGCCTGTTCTTCTTCCTTCGCCACTGGCATCCCTAAGGCTTTAGGGATTGGTATCTCTGGTCCCTCCAGCAACCAGAACTCCCTTCATTTACTCAGTCTCCTCTAAACGTCATGAAACACCTTGCAGGATGAGATCATGATGTGATCCAGAGGAAGAATCCCCATTCCTACCAGATTCTGAACTCCTATGCAACATCTTGGGTTTGGAAGGGGCCCATGGGTATCTTTGAGAACGCAGATGGGACTGGAAGGGGCCTCTGGGTAGGGCAAGGATTCAGCAACAGAGAAGCTGGAGCTCCCTGGAACATTTCTTTTGTAAATAGCTTATCAAGTTTATCTTATATTAGGAACATCCATCCCGACCTCCAGAAATCTTTCAGAATACAATCCTATACAAACTGAGTGTTTCTGAATAGCAAGGAGTAGGGCTGCATATAATCACCAGGAGACAATGGCTATCTCAATGCTTTGTGATAATTTATTTCATAAAGTGGTTTTGCATTGTGTGGAAATGTATCTTCTTTTGCCTATCACTGACTCTGCTGTCAGGTTATTTAATAGGACCTCTTGAGCTCTAGAGTTATGGCACCAGAAGAGGGAGTGAGGAATAGCCACTTCTTTAGTGTCACGCATAATCTTATAAACTTCTATTATGCCCCTATTTTTATATTCCTGAATCAAAAACACCCAAAAGGTGGAGTTTAGTGGCTGATCAGACTACCAGCCCTCCTTGTGCAGAGTGAGGAAGAGACCCAAGAACACAGGATGTATACCTCACTCCAAGGTTTTTATTTAAGCAATAACAGTACAAGTTAAATGAAGTTCCCTTTAATAATACAACAACCATTCTACTAAAACAAACCACGTATTCCAGCAGCTGAGTTTGAATTTAAAAATGACATTCATGCATATTCAAGAACACTTTCCTCTGCCGAGCTGTAGCAAGATCCCAAGGTGTTCCAGGGACTCACCCAGTGCTCCTTTGGAGAATTGAGGACATGGTAGAGACTGCCGTAGCTTTAAGAAATATGATTTATACACATATTTAAAGCTTCAGTCTGCATGGAGGGGGTGCAGATCTTACAGCATGGCTATCCCAAGCAGGGAGGCTCATCTAGTCTTAACAATCTGCACCTCCTGGACACGTTGGTGTTAGAAGGAACAAATCAGACGCCACAAGAAAATATGAGGGGGAATAAAGAATTGGGGAATCTCTTCTCTTCCCCCACAGCCCCCATAGATGTGTCCTTCCATCCTCTCCTAGCTCTGAAGCTCAGCACTCTGGCACTATAGTACTATTGCTGTAGAGCATTAACTACCGAGGTTGAGGGTAGGCAAGTAAGTTTATCTGCCCCTTCCAGTGCTGTATGGGTGAAAGGGTGGTGTCAGTTTATGCACACAATGAGATAAGCAGCTTCAGATCTGAATTTTGCTGCACTTTCCAAGATATTCTGAGCTGTTAGGCAGTCTCTTCCCAGCACAGCTGAGATAGGAAATTAATTAGAACAGCAGTTACCAGCCATGGCACTCATGAGTGCCTGGGTGCCCTCGTATGGTGCCCACAAAAGGCCTCAGTAAATATCCCCTCAAAATCAACTGGCTCAGCCTCTCCATTTAATGGGACTTCAGTATTGAAGGCCCACTCTTTAATATATTCTGAACAAGGAAGAGGTGCAAAGAGCTTCTCTTTGTGAGCAAGCACAGCAGTGATGGATATAGGTATTTTAGCCACACTGAGCCTTCAAACTAGCATTCATTTTCTGCAAAATCTGGATCTTTCGTTTCCCAAACGGCCATTCCCTAAAATCACAAGGCAAACTGCTTTTAAAAGTGATCAGCCTGTTAAACGCAATTTATATTCCTTAGAAGGGATGGGTTGGTCTCCTATCAAATGGAGAGAGAAATGATAGAGAAATATGTCTTGACAAGCAGAAGATGTTTGGTTCGTCTTTCAAAGCACCTCCCAATTAATTAGTAATCATTTACCTTTGGCATCATATTTGGCACTGGCAGGTATATTGTGTTAAAGCATTGAGACTGTTTTCCAAGAGGTCAGCAAATTCTGTTAATTTTTTCATTATCAAAATAATAACATTAATAATAAAGTAATTAAAAGAGTAAATAAATGATCAATTTGTGAAATCTTCTGATCTAACTGAATACATTGCTTTCTTTTCCTAGAATCAAGCACCATGCCAGAGATAGTCCCTAAGAACAAAGCCCCAGGGGTTGATTTCTGTGGGGTACATGAATATTACTACATTGTCCGCTCAGACCTGGGCTGCTACATGAGGTCCACCAATTTCCACGAGGGCAAAGACCTCGAAGTGTTTAGCCTGCACAGTTCCTGCCAGGGAGGAGATCACTACTTAGCCCATGAGGATGACCTATTCTACATCATCAAAGGAGACAACTATCGCCGTGTCAGCAACATGAATGCAGACTTAGGTTCTGTAGTATACAGCCTCCATCCCAACTGCCGCGGAGGGGACCATTACCTCTCAGCCTTTGGATCCTTCTATATCATTTTCCAGAAAAGAGGTGTTTACCGTCGGGTCAGTAATATGCATGATGATACAGATGCAATTGAATACACACTTCACCCAACTTGCAAGGATGGTCTCTATTACTGGGGCATCAAGAATTACTATTACTTTGTAAAACCCCATGATGAATGGGGGGTCCAGTACTATAGATGCACCGACTTCCACGGAAATTTGGATGCTGTTACATACTCCTTCCATAGGGATGTTGTGAACATGCTCCCTGGAGGAATGGCTATTAGCCAAGGCCCAGCTTATGGTAAGTGGGAAGCTATCAAGACCATCTCAAATGACTCCAACACTCCCATTGTATGGAATAAGAAGATCACCAAGAAAGTGGGATACAACAAGCAGAAGATGAGCAGTGTGGAGCACAACTGGAAGGTTTCCATGACTGCCTCATATCAGTCAGGCGCACTCACTGAGGCCATTGCCAAGTACCAGTTCTCTCTCACTGCTGAGTATGGTGGGAAGAGTGTCAACACAGAGCAGGAAACTGGAATGAAGCCACTGAGATCGAAGAAGCTATTAATTTGACCCTGCAGCCCAATGAGAAGATGTACATATGGCAATACCAGCTGGGTTTGGGCAAGGAAACGGTCTTGTTCTGCCGTGATATGAAATTTTCGAGTGATTCTACTCCACCTACAGATATTCCTTTGCCACCTTCCAATAAGTGAAAAGAAAAGTGTTAGGCCAAAAGGCATCTTCCAAAGGCTTCCTTTTCTTTTATAACATTTAATTGATTGCTATGGGCTAATATTTAGACAATCTAGAGCTCTTGTAATGGGGAGTTAGCTGAGTAGTATATAGACATGCATAAGCTAAACACGAAGTAGATTAATGATTACTATTATATACTCTCATATTGACATACACATCCTGCTAGGCTACAGTTAGAAAAGCATATCCTAGTTTGTGCATGATGCAGGTGATCCAAGCTTAATGCCTTTTAGATAAGCTACTATTTCCCTGGTGCCTATGAATCCCTTTGCCAAATTTGTGCCTTCATCTTAATTTGTACCTGCTGAACTCTGGAATCTGTCCCAGTGTTATACAAATCAAATAAAATGAATAATTAATGGTTTAAAAATGTGTTCTGTGCGCTTTTCACACTTGTGTACAAAATGATTTTCAACATATATTTTCCAGAAGACACAAATACCTTCTTCCTTTTTCCAGAGGGTATTGAGGAAGTGGGGAGCTCTGTGTACAATTTCATGCTGGTGTGCCATCAGAAACCTTCACTTTTTACATCATAGTTTTTAGCTATCTCCAATTTTGAGGGTTGGCTTAGTTCAGAGAAGGGTCCAGAGGCCTGATCCAGCACCACAAGCACATTTTTATTTCCACTTCCCAACCAAACCCACAATCCCACTAATTCGGTGGCAGCAAAACCAATCTAAAGATCAGACACAGTGTTTAGGTGGTCAGAGATATGTATGCATGTGTCCTGTGTTCACAGGCGTGAGAGTGTGAGGTGACCACAGCCACTTTGGGTCACTCACCAATGACATGCTGGTCCTGGAGAGCTTCCTAAGGGTGAATGTGCCCTTATAGCTAAAAAGCAATAGCCCTTTTAGCCCCGCCCCCTCCCTGTCCTAGAGGTGCTAGGAAGGAACATTCTCTTTACTCTGGTTGCCAATTGATTACTAGCAGAAGAGGCACAAGAAGGAACATTTCTCTTTACTCTGGTTACCAATTGATTACTAGCCCCAATTCAAATGCTGGTTTCGACTTACGTGGTTCAGACTCTCAGTACCTCAAGGACCTCCCCTTCCCATATCGACCTACCTGAGCTCTGCAGTGTTCACTTGAAGCCCTTCTCTGTGCCCCCCTCCAACGGAGGTGCCAAGGGGAGCAGCAAGAGAGGAGGCCTTGCCAGTGGTAGCCCCTGGTTGTGTAGTGCTCTCCCTCATCAGGCTTGCCCACCGCTGATGTTATTAGCTTTTGAATGCCAGGCAAATACATTTTTCTCCGGGCTTCTGATTCTTTGAATGGATGCAATCTTTATCCATTCCTTTTATTTATTTATTTTAAGAAATAATATCCCACTTTCCACATCATAGGTCTCAGGTTGTCTTTAACAATAAAATGTACCATATACACAATTTAAAACATCACTTTAACTTCCAAAATTTAAAACCTCAAGAATTTAACATATCTCTCTCAGAAAAGAAAAACAACCACCAGCAGTGAGCGACAGCACAACAGCACTTTCTCAACCTCACATTGGGCCAGCCCTCAATTAAATATAGTGTGACCACCTCAAGGTACACCAGTTACACAAATTTCTACAATTTACCTCAGATTATCTAGTGGGGGACATGTATGAGGTAAAAATGATTTAGAGTCTCAGGCAGGAGTTGCTCAAACAAACAAGAAAAGTTTTATTAAACAAAGGAAGTTTATGACACAAAGTGGGTCGGGAAATGAGTTCTTTCAGGTAGAAATTAACTTACCGTATTTACTTTAACTATAAGATGTCTCAGGTTTAAACATAACACTTTAGGCACAACCCTTCTTAAACTTCAGTTACTAAACACCAGCTGGTTCACTTCAGGTAGATGAATATTCAGGTTTCCAGAAGAGATGGCAAAATGTTCAAATCAGTTTCTGTCACTTAGATAATACAGTGACCGCTCCCCACAACAACTGGGGAGGAGGCGCCTTTTGCATGGTCGCGCACAGCCACCCATCCCAGTGCGTCTCCCGGTAGTAGGGGCTGGCTTCGCCCTCCCCAGGCTGGATACCTGGAGGTCTCCGCCTACTTCAGCCAATCGCCCAATCCCACCTGGGGGGCGTCGCCAGAGGATCAGCCAGGTAGGGGGAGGGACCACCCACAGAACAGAAGGTGAAGCTTACCTGCGAATCAGTGTCAGTTGGCTCCAGAACTTCTCCCACCCTGCCCTCCCTCAGTTAAGCCTCCTTTTGCAGGTTAACCTCTTCTCTACAGGTACGCAGGCGCTGTTGAAGGACCGGAAAGGAATTTTCCTGCATTGGCAGGTTTTGCCTTTCTTTAGTAAAACGTCACAACTTTGGTGGTTTCAGGCCTTGGGCGGAATCCTTTAGTCTAGCTTCCTAAATGGGGGGGCCGGTTTTTATTTCAGCAATAACAGTACAAGTTAAATGAAGATCCTTTTAATAATCCAATAACCAGTCTACTAAAACAGACCATGTATTCCAGCAACAGACCTTGAATCTAAAAATGACATTAATGCATATTCAAGCAGAATCTCTCTCTGCACAGCTGAAGCAAAATCCCAGGGGGTTCCAGGGGGTGCTTCTTTGTGGACCTGTAGTCTAACAACTTCTTTATATTTATTGTGTGCCAATGATATTCCATGTGTGATATTGAAGTGACATGGGGCCTTCCCCAGTGGCGGAGGAAGGGGGCAGCCCCCCCCGGGTGCCATCTCTGAGGAGGTGTGACAAGAAGGCACACCTCAGGGGACTCCCCTGCCACCCCGGGCGTGCACCGTCATTGTGCTGCTGCAGACGCGTGTGGAGGATCCTCTGCTCGCGGCTGCACCCTCCTCCGCCGTCCGTACAGCGCTCGAGCAGTGCCATCGGCAAACCGACCAGTGGCGCATGTGCGGCGCCGCTCAAGCGCCATACAGTGTACCCTAACCCTCCACCACTGCTGCTGCTGCGAGCGAAGGATCCCACTGACTCCGCTGCAGCTGCAAGCAGAGGATCCCGCTGCCATACATACGATGCGCACACGTGGTACGTAGCGGCACATGCGCATGCGCCAATGGGCGGTTTGCCCTGCCCCCCTACCCTGGGTGCCTGTTCTTCTTCCTTCGCCACTGGCTTCCCTAAGGCTTTAGGGATTGGTATCTCTGCTCCCTCCAGCAACCAGAACTCAGTCTCCTCTAAACGTCATGAAACACCTTGCAGGATGAAATCATGATGTGATCCAGAGGCAGAATCCCCATTCCTACCAGATTCTGAACTCAGATGCAACATCTTGGGTTTGGAAGGGGCCCATGGGTATCTTTGAGAACGCAGATGGGACTGGAAGGGACCTCTGGGTAGGGGAAGGATTCAGCAACAGAGAAGCTAGAGCTCCCTGCAACATTTCTTTTGTAAGTAGTTTATATAACTTATATTAGTTACATCCATCCCGACCTCCAGATCTCTTTCAGAATGCAGTCCTAGACAAACTGAATGTTTCTTGAATAGCAAGGTGTACGGCTGCATATAGTCACCAGGAGACAATGCCTATCTCAATGCTTTGTGATAATTTATTTCATAAAGTGGTTTTGCATTGTGTGGAAATGTATCTTCTTTTGCCTATCAGTGACTCTGCTGTCAGGCTGAGTCCTCTTGAGCTCTTGAGCTCTAGAGTTATGGCACCAGAAAAGGGAGTGAGGAATAGCCACTTCTTTAGTGTCACGCATAATCTTATAAACTTCTATTATGCCCCTCTTTTTATATTCCTGAATCAAAAACACCCAAATGGTGGAGTTTAGTGGCTGATCAGACTACCAGCCCTCCTTGTGCAGAGTGAGGAAGAGACCCAAGAACACAGGATGTAGCCTACCTTGATTTCAGCAAGGCATTTGACAAGGTGCCCCATGATATTCTTGTAAAGAAGCTGGTAAAATGCGGTCTTGACTATGCTACCACTCAGTGGATTTGTAACTGGCTGACTGACTGAACCCAAAGGGTGCTCATCAATGGTTCCTCTTCATCCTGGAGAAGAGTGACTAGTGGGGTGCCACAGGGTTCTGTCTTGGGCCCGGTCTTATTCAACATCTTCATCAATGACTTGGATGATGGACTCAAGGGCATCCTGATCAAATTTGCAGATGACACCAAACTGGGAGGGGTGGCTAACACCCCAGAGGACAGGATTACACTTCAAAACGACCTACACAGATTAGAGAACTGGGCAAAAGCAAAAAAGATGAATTTTAACAGGGAGAAATATAAAGTATTGCACTTGGGCAAAAAAAATGAGAGGCACAAATACAAGATGGGTGACACCTGGCTTGAGAGCAGTACATGTGAAAAGGATCTAGGAGTCTTGGTTGACCACAAACTTGACATGAGCCAACAGTGTGATGCGGCAGCTAAAAAAGCCAATGCAATTCTGGGCTGCATCAATAGGAGCATAGCATCTAGATCAAGGGAAGTAATAGTGCCACTGTATTCTGCTCTGGTCAGACCTCACCTGGAGTACTGTGTCCAGTTCTGGGCACCACAATTCAAGAAGGACACTGACAAACTGGAACGTGTCCAGAGGAGGGCAACCAAAATGGTCAAAGGCCTGGAAACGATGTCTTATGAGGAACGGCTAAGGGAGCTGGGCATGTTTAGCCTGGAGAAGAGGAGGTTAAGGGGTGATATGATAGCCATGTTCAAATATATAAAAGGATGTCACATAGAGGAGGGAGAAAGGTTGTTTTCCGCTGCTCCAGACAAGCGTACACGGAGCAATGGATCCAAACTACAAGAAAGAAGATTCCACCTAAACATTAGGAAGAACTTCCTGACAGTAAGAGCTGTTCGACAGTGGAATTTGCTGCCAAGGAGTGTGGTGGAGTCTCCTGCTTTGGAGGTCTTTAAGCAGAGGCTTGACAACCATATGTCAGGAGAGCTCTGATGGTGTTTCCTGCTTGGCAGGGGGTTGGACTCGATGGCCCTTGTGGTCTCTTCCAACTCTATGATTCTATGATTCTAAGGTTTTTATTTAAGCAATAATAGTAGAAGTTAAATGAAGTTCCTTTTAATAATACAACAACCATTCTACTAAAACAAACCACGTATTCCAGCAGCTGCGTTTGAATTTAAAAATGACATTCATGCATATTCAAGAACACTTTCCTCTGCCGAGCTGTAGCAAGATCCCAAGGTGTTCCAGGGACTCACCCAGTGCTCCTTTGGAGAATTGAGGACATGGTAGAGACTGCCGTAGCTTTAAGAAATATGATTTATACACATATTTAAAGCTTCAGTCTGCATGGAGGGGGTGCAGATCTTACAGCATGGCTATCCCAAGCAGGGATGCTCATCTAGTCTTAACAATCTGCACCTCCTGGACACGTTGGTGTTAGAAGGAACAAATCAGACGCCACAAGAAAATATGAGGAGGAATAAAGAATTGGGGAATCTCTTCTCTTCCCCCACAGCCCCCATAGATGTGTCCTTCCATCCTCTCCTAGCTCTGAAGCTCAACACTCTGGCACTATAGTACTATTGCTGTAGAGCATTAACTACCGAGGTTGAGGGTAGGCAAGTAAGTTTATCTGCCCCTTCCAGTGCTGTATGGGTGAAAGGGTGGTGTCAGTTTATGCACACAATGAGATAAGCAGCTTCAGATCTGAATTTTGCTCCTCTTTCCAAGATATTCTGAGCTGTTAGGCAGTCTCCTCCCATCACAGCTGAGATAGGAAATTAATTAGAACAGCAGTTACCGGCATGGCACTCATGAGTGCCTGGGTGCCCTCGTATGGTGCCCACAAAAGGCCTCAGTAAATATCCCCTCAAAATCCACTGGCTCTGTACAAAGTGTGTAACAAATGTTGGAAATGTAAAGAAAAAGAGGGAACATTTTATCATATGTGGTGGGAGTGTAAAAAGGTGAAATGCTTCTGGGAAATCATATATAATGAATTGGAAAAAATGTTGAAATATACATTTGTAAAGAAACCAGAGGCATTGTACATATGGCAATACCAGCTGGGTTTGGGCAAGGAAACGGTCTTGTTCTGCCATGATATGAAATTTACAGGTGATTCTACTCCACCTACAGATATTCCTTTGCCACCTTCTAATAAATGAAATACAGTGGTACCTCGGGTTAAGTACTTAATTCATTCCTGAGGTCTGTTCTTAACCTGAAACTGTTCTTAACCTGAAGCACCACTTTAGCTAATGGGGCCTCCTGCTGCTGCTGCGCCGGCAGAGCCAGAATTCTGCTCTCATCCTGAAGCAAAGTTCTTAACCCGAGGTAATATTTCTGGATTAGTGGAGTCTGTAACCTGAAGCGTCTTTAACCTGAGGTACCACTGTATGGTAGGTCAACAGGAATGCTCAAAGGCTTCCTCCCATTTAGGGATCTTTTATTAAATTTGGGTGATTATTGTTGGCTAAAGTTTAAAAGTTTAAAACTCTCACAGCACTAGAAAATGAGAGATATTCTAAGTTCCGCTGATGCTATATTTTGTTCCTGGAAGACTCTGCACGCTGAGAAGGGGAGTGGGAGGGTTTTCTTGTGGTTGTGTCTCTGCTTATCAATAAATTTTTTTTAGTTCCAATGTAGGAGGAGCGGTACGTAGTTTCTCATTAACCCATAGCCTCTTCTATCCTATTTAAGCAGCAAGTGTTCACACATTTCCCTCATTCTCCACCAAGAGAAGCAGCTGCCACCTATTACAAAAGTTTTTGTGGAAATACTGGTAAGTCTTGGAGGGCTACTGGGCAGGAGTGGAGAGAGATAACTTTAGAATTTGGGGCATAAGGGAGGGAATGCTTTTTGTGGACCTGCAGTCTAACTACCTCTTTATAATTATAAAGGATATAATCATAAACTCTAAGGTGTTTATTTCAGCAATAACAGTACAAGTTAAATGAAGTTCCTTTTAATAATCAAACAACCAGTCTACTAAAACAGACCATGTATTCTAGCAAAAAATCTTGAATCTAAAAATGACATTAATGCATATTCAAGGAGAATCTCTCTCTGCACAGCTGAAGAAAAATCCCAGGGGGTTCCAGGGGCTGCTTCTTTGTGGACCTGTAGTCTGACTACTTGTTTATAATTATTGAGTGCCAATGAAATTCCCTGTGTGTTATTGAAGTGACATGGGGCCTTCCCCAGTGGCAGAGGAAGGGGGCAGGCCCCCCGGGTGCCATCTCTGAGGAGGTGTTACAAGAAGGCACACCTCAGGGGTCTCGCCTTGCCACCCCCAGGCACGCACCGCCATCGTGCTGCCGCAGACGCATGTGGAGGATCCTGTGCTCACAGCTGCACTCTCCTCCGCTTGAGCGGTGCCATCGGCAAACCGACCAGTGGCGCATGCGCAGCACCACTCAAGTGCCATACAGTGTGCCCTAACCCTCCACCACTGCTGCAGCCATGAGCGAAGGATCCCACTGACTCCGCTGCAGCTGCGAGGAGAGGATCCCGCTGCCATACATACGGTGTGCACACATGCATGGTACATAGCAGCGCACACATGGTATGTAGCGGCACCTGCGCATGCGCCGATGAGTGGTTTGCCCCGCCCCCTACCCTGGGTGCCTGTTCTTCTTCTTTCACCACTGGCTTCCCTAAGGCTTTAGGGATTGGTATCTCTGGTCCCTCCAGCAACCAGAACTCCCTTCATTTACTCAGTCTCCTCTAAACGTCATGAAACACCTTGCAGGGTGAGATCATGACGTGATCCAGAGGAAGAATCCCCATTCCTATCAGATTCTGAACTCATATGCAACATCTTGGGTTTGGAAGGGGCCCATGGGTATCTTTGAGAACGCAGATGGGACTGGAAGGGGCCTCTGGGTAGGGGAAGGATTCAGCAACAGAGAAGCTGGAGCTCCCTGGAACATTTCTTTTGTAAATAGTTTATAAAGTATTTCTTATATTAGGAAAATCCATCCCTACCTCCAGATCTCATTCAGAATGCAATCCTATACAAACTGAGTGTTTCTTGAATAGCAAGGTGTAAGGCTGCATATAGTCACCAGGAGACAATGGCTATCTCAATGCTTTGTGATAATTTATTTCATAAAGTGGTTTTGCATTGTGTGGAAATGTATCTTCTTTTGCCTATCACTGACTCTGCTGTCAGGCTATTTAATAGGACCTCTTGAGCTCTAGAGTTATGGCACCAGAAGAGGGAGAGAGGAATAGCCACTTCTTGAGTGTCACGCATAATCTTATAAACTTCTATTATGTCCCTCTTTTTATATTCCTGAATCAAAAACACCCAAATGGTGGAGTTTAGTGGCTGATCAGACCACCAGCCCTCCTTGTGCAGAGTGAGGAAGAGACCCAAGAACACAGGATGTATACCTCACTCTAAGGTTTTTATTTAAGCAATAACAGTACAAGTTAAATGAAGTTCCCTTTAATAATACAACAACCATTCTACTAAAACAAACCACATATTCCAGCAGCTGAGTTTGAATTTAAAAATGACATTCATGCATATTCAAGAACACTTTCCTCTGCCGAGCTGTAGCAAGATCCCAAGGTGTTCCAGGGACTCACCCAGTGCTCCTTTGGAAAATTGAAGACATGGTAGAGACTGTTGTAGCTTTAAGAAATATGATTTATACACATATTTAAACCTTCAGTCTGCATGGAGGGGGTGCAGATCTTACAGCATGGCAATCCCAAGCAGGGATGCTCATCTAGTCTTAACAATCTGCACCTCCTGGACACGTTGGTGTTAGAAGGAACAAATCAGACACCACAAGAAAATACGAGGGGGAATAAAGAATTGGGGAATCTCTTCTCTTCCCCCACAGCCCCCATAGATGTGTACTTCCATCCTCTCCTAGCTCTGAAGCTCAACAGTCTGGCACTATAGTACTATTGCTGTAGTTGCTGTACTGAGGTTGAGGGTAGGCAAGTAAGTTTATCTGTCCCTTCCAGTGCTATATGGGAGAACGGGTGGTGTCGGTTCATGCACACAAGTTTATCTGCCCCTTCCAGTGCTGTATGGGTGAAAGGGTGGTGTCAGTTTATGCACACAATGAGATAAGCAGCTTCAGATCTGAATTTTGCTCCTCTTTCCAAGATATTCTGAGCTGTTAGGCAGTCTCTTCCCATCACAGCTGAGATAGGAAATTAATTAGAACAGCAGTTACCGGCATGGCACTCATGAGTGCCTGGGTGCCCTCGTATGGTGCCCACAAAAGGCCTCAGTAAGTATCCCCTCAAAATCCACTGGCTCTGTACAAAGTGTGTAACAAATGTTGGAAATGTAAAGAAAAAGAGGGAACATTTTATCATATGTGGTGGGAGTGTAAAAAGGTGAAATGCTTCTGGGAAATCATATATAATGAATTGAAAAAAATGTTGAAATATACATTTGTAAAGAAACCAGAGGCATTTGTGTTAGGCATGGTTGGAAGTGAAAGAAATAGAAAAGAACGTAAGCTTTTTTTATACGTGGTAACAGCTGCAAGGACATTATTGGCCCAAAAATGGAAACAATAAGAGATACCAATGATGGAAGAATGGAGAATGAAATTAATGGACTATGCAGAACTCGACAAATTAACAGGAAAGATCTGAAACCGACGGAACCATAGGTTCACCGAGAACTGGAGTAAATTTGTAGATTATTTGAAAAGTAGATGCGATGAACAAATAACGTTTTTTGGTTTGCAAGAGGCTCTGTGAAGAATTAATATTAAAAATATTGTAAAAAAGGGAGTAGGGAGGAGGAAGGTTATCATTATAAGACAATATAAAATTAGGAAATGCGTAAAAAAGAATCAAAACGGAGGATTGTCAGAAGAGCTGAGGGAAGTCCAAAAAAGAATGTATTTGTGAAAAAATGTGTGTTATGTTCTTATAATGTTGTATTGTAAAATTAATAAAATATTATTTAAAAAAAACCAAAAAACAAAATCCACTGGCTCAGCCTCTCCATTTAATGGGGCTTGAGTACTGAAGGCCCACTCTCTTATATGTTCTGAAGAAGGGAGAGGTGCAAAGAGCTTCTCTTTGTGAGCAAGCACAGCAGTGATGGATATAGGTGTTTTTGCCACACTGAGCCTTCAAAAAAGCATTGATTTCCAGCAAAATCTGGATCTTTCATTTCCTAAACAGCCATTCCCTAAAATCACAAGGCAAACTACTTTTAAAACTGGCCAGCCTGTCAAACGCAATTTATATTCCTTAGAAGGGGTGGGTGGGTCTCCTATCAAATGGAGAGAGAAATAGATAGAGAAATATGTCTTCACAAGGAGAAGGTGTTTGCTTTGTCTTTAAAGCACCTCACAATTAATTAGTAATCATTTACCTTTGGAATTATATTTGGCACTGGCAGGTATATTATGTTAAAGCACTGAGACAGTTTTCCAAGACGTCAGCAAATTCTGTTAATTATTTCATTTTCATAAACAATAAAATAAGTAAATAGAGTAAATAAATGATCAATTTGTGAAATCTTCTGATCTAACTGAATACATTGCTTTCTTTTCCTAGAATCAAGCACCATGCCAGAGATAGTCCCTAAGAACAAAGCCCCAGGGGTTGATTTCTGTGGGGTAGATGAATATTACTACATTGTCCGCTCAGACCTGGGCTGCTACATGCGGTCCACCAATTTCCATGAGGGCAAAGACCTCGAAGTGTTTAGCCTGCACAGTTCCTGCCAGGGAGGAGATCACTACTTAGCCCATGAGGATGACCTATTCTACATCATCAAAGGAGACAACTATCGCCGTGTCAGCAACATGAATAAAGACTTAGGTTCTGTAGTATACAGCCTCCATCCCAACTGCCGTGGAGGGGACCATTACCTCTCAGCCTCTAGATACTTCTATATCATTTTCCAGAAAAGAGGTGTTTACCGTATGGTCACTAATATGAATGAAGATAAAGATGCAGTTGAATACACACTTCACCCTGCTTGCAAGGATGGTCTCTATTACTGGGGCGTCAGAAAATACTATTACTTTGTAAAACCTGTGATGAATGGGGGCATCCAGTACTATAAAAGCACCAACTTCCACGAAAATCTGAATGCTGAAACATTTTCCTTCCATAGTGATGTAGTGAATATGCTCCCTGGAGGAATGGCTATTACCTATGGTCCAGCTTATGGTAGATGGGAACCTATCAAGACCATCTCCAACGACTCTAGCACTCCCATTGTATGGAATAAGAAGATCACCAAGAAAGTGGGATACAACAAGCAGAAGATGACCAGTGTGGAGCACAACTGGAAGATTTCCATGACTACCACATATCAGTCGGGTGCGCTCACTGAAGCCATTGCCAAGTATCAGTTCTCTCTCACTGCTGAGTATGGTGGGAAGAGGGTCAACACAGAGCAGGAAAACTGGAATGAAGCTACTGAGATCGAAGAAGCTATTAGTGTAACTGTGCAGCCCAATGAGAAGATGTACATATGGCAGTTTGAGATGGGCTTGGGCAAGGAAGCGGTCTTGTTCTGCCGTGATATGAAATTTACGAGTGATTCTACTCCACCTACAGATATTCCTTTGCCACCTTCCAATAAGTGATAAGAAAATGGGCTAATATTTAGACAATATAGCGCTTTCATGAGTTAAGAGGGAGTTAGATGAGTAGTATATAGAGATGCATAAACTTAGATTAATGATTTCTAGACATATTATATACTCTCATATAGACATACTAATCTCACTAGGCTACAGCTAGAAATGCATGTCCTAGTTTGTGCACAATGCAGGTGACCCAAGCTGAATGCCTTCTAGGTAAGCTACTATTTCCTGGTCTCCATAAATCGCTTTGCCAAATTTGTGCCTTCATTTTGCTTTGTACCTGCTGAACTTCTAATCGTGTTCCACTGTTGTTATACAAATCAAATAAAATGAAGAATCAATGGTTTAAAAATATGTGCAATGCTTGTTTCACACTTGTGACAAAATGATTTACAACATATATAGTTTATAGTTTAGTTTATTATTTCTACCCTGCCCATTTGGCCGGGTTTCCCCAGCCACTCTGGGTGGCTTTCAACAGCACATTAAAAACAGAATAAAACTTCAAACATTAAAAACTTCCCTAACCAGGGCTGCCTTCAGATGTCATCTAAAGGACAGGTAGTTGTTTATTTCCTTGACATCTGATGGAAGGGCATTCCACAGGGCGGGCGCCACTACTGAGAAGGCCCTCTGCCTGGTTCCCTGGAACTTTGCTTCTCACAGTGAGGGAACTGCCAGAAGGCTTTGGCGCTGGACCTCAGTGTCTGGCTGAACAATGCGGGTGGAGACGCTCCTTCAGGTATACTGGGCTGAGACTGTTTAGTGCATTAAAGATCAGCACCAACACTTTGAATTATGCTCGAAAACATATTGGGAGCCAATGTAGGTCTTTCAAGACCGGTGTTATATCGTCTCAGCGGCCGCTCCCAGTCACCAGTCTGGCTGCTGCATTCTGGATTAGTTGCAGTTTCTGGGTCACCTTCAAGGAAATAAACAACTATTTGCCTTTTTGAAGACATCTGAAAGCAGTCCTGTTTAGAGAAATTTTAAATGTTTGATTTTTTTTGTGCTTTTAATATTCTGTTGGGGGCCAGCCAGAGTGGCTGGGGAAACCCAGCCAGATGGGCGGGGTATAAATAAACAATAACTCTAACCATTGGCCATGTTGGCTGAGGGAGTTAGTATACAACTAAATCTGGAGGGACACGTGTTTTAAGCATGCTGCTGGCCTGGAAAAGAATTGTGAGAGTAAGGCTCCTTCAGGAAGTTGGCTTGGAGGAGCAAGGAGTCAAGTGTGGCCAGAGCAGAGAGAAGGAAACTGCAGAAGCCCAAAGGTTGATCGTGATAAACGCCTTTTGTCAAAAACCACATCAAACATTTATGCAAATACAAGGAAGAACATAGAAGTGTTTGCACTGTGTTTGAGTTGAAGGCTGGGTTTCTTTGGAAACGGAGCAGAGATTTCTGTAGAAGAAGACGTTTCAATAAAGTCAGCCAATCATAGGTAATAAAACAGGAGAGCACTTTTGTGTGTGTTTTTAAAGGCCTAGAACCATTGGCTCAGAAAGTACAATCCAATGGCCCCTACATTTGTTGTTGCTGCCCCTATTTTCAGACATATCTCCCTAGTAAAATGCTGCTCCCTTTGCTACTGTTTGTCATTGGGGGCACTTTCCTGGTAGCTGGAGGTGCCAGCATTTAACTCCTTCTTTAGCCTCTTTATCACCTTCTGTACATCCACTCAGAAGAAAGATCCATGAAGTTCAATGGTACATACCCCTTGTCCACGATAGCAGGCTAATTTTTTCAGTGGCTAATGGATGCTTCTTGACTACGCCTTTTTTTCCTAGGGAAGGTTGGGCAGTCTGTGGCCCTCCAAGTTTTTTTTTTGGACTCCAGTTCCCATCAGCCCCAGCAAGCAAAGCCAAAGATGATGGGATTTCTAGTCCAGCAACACTTGAAGGGCCACAGGTTCCTCATCATTGCTCAAATGCACACGCATGTGAAATATTCTTCAAGCGCACAAAGGCACCGCCATATTTTACACACTGCAGCTTCCAGGATACATTTAAAGCCACCTAGAACATAGTACAATTTCAATTTTTCTACTACATCTTTGGCCAAAAATTTGTAGCATAAAAAGTAGAAGGCTTCCTTCAGCAAGGCATAACCCCATTTTCACCTGAGAAAGTCGATCTCCTGGCTATTTGCTCGCCTCTTGCCATTAAGGCTCTTAACTTGGAGGCATTAGAGTTTCAGTGTGATGTGTTGGATACAGGATCAGACTTAGACAGGGAAATGCCAACTCAAATATTCTATGCCCTAAAATACAAATAAACAAGCCTCACCACCACCACTGCTTCCATAATACTGGAAGCCCAGATCACCCAATGAAGCTAGATGGTAGGAAATTCAGGGCAGGCAAAAGCAAGCACTCTCTCACAGAGCACACACTGAAACTCTGGAATTTGCAGCCACTAACTTGGACATCTTTAAAAGGAGATGGGGCAAATTCAGGGAGAATAGGTCTGGTTGATCGCTATGGTTAACAGGATAAAGGACTACACTGGCCTTTCAACCAACCCAGCATGGGTCTTTTGTGCTTCTTATGATACTAACAATGGTTGATTTCAGTTCCACATTTCAGAGTTAAAGTTAGTTGTGGCAAGTCAGCTGTTACAAGCTTCTGGTACCTGTAGTGGGTGGTTGGGGAATGTTTGAGATGAAGTGGCTACTCAAAGAGTCTCTTGACCTAGGAATGAAGGTTCAAAAGTAAGGATTTCCTCATTCCAAACTGAGCTAGGGCACAGCTGTGTTGGAAGAGATCCATTTTTGTAGGAAGAAAGGAGTCACGGGGCCACTTGGAGAGAGATTGGGCAAGCTCTAGAATATAAAAATGATCTATCTAAGCCAAAGTGACCAGAGGAGAAAGGCAATTCCCATCCAGCAGATTGGTCTTCTTATCGTCACACCTGCATTATTATATTTTATTCTGAGGGTAAGTAGGAAATCATTATATTCTATCTTGTGCTGTGATATTTGCTTCCATGTATTCATCTTTAGTGGAGAGAACCCGGTGGAGGATGGAAACCTTGTCTCCTCTTGTGCCCTTTTATAGCAACATAATTTTCAGAAATCAGCAATACCCCCATTCGTTCTACCTGCACCTCTCTTGGCAGCACAGCTTTTCTGCTTGTGGAACGGGGGCTTTGAAACCATACAGTCAGGTGTGCCATTTTTAGTTGAAACTTGTTGTGGAGAGAAGGTAATGGAGATACAGTAGTACCTCGGGTAACATACGCTTCAGGTTACACATGCTTCAGGTTACAGACTCCGCTAACCCAGAAATAGTGCTTCAGGTTAAGAACTTTGATTCAGGATGAGAACAGAAATCGTGCTCCAACGGTGCAGCAGGAGGCCCCATTAGCTAAAATGAAGTCACAAGCCGCAGTCACAAGTCAGTCCCATAAAATGAAGAACAAGTCACAGCCAAAAAATCAAAAAGCCACACAAACAAAAATGCAAAAAAATAGCAAAAACAAAAGTTCCAAATATCACTGCTGTGTTGCAGTGGGACTCAACAGGAAACCTCAACAGGAAGCCTCTGATTAGCAGCGGGGGACTCGATTTGCAAATGGAACACACTAAACAGGAATCGGAACATGTTCTGTTTCCAAGGCAAAGTTCACAAACTGGGACACCTACTTCCAGTTTTGCAGCATACTATTTCCAAGATGTTCATAAACTAAGCTGTTCTAAAACCAAGGTACCACTGTACACCACTTAAAAGGTAAAGGGACCCCTGACCATGAAGTCCAGTCGTGACTGACTCTGGGGTTGCGGCGCTCATCTCGCTTTACTGGCCAAGGGAGCCGGTGTACAGCTTCCGGGTCATGTGGCCCGCATGACTAAGCCACTTCTGGTGAACCAGAGCAGTGCACGGAAACGCCGTTTAACTTCCCGCCGGAGCGGTACATATTTATCTACTTGCACTTTTGACATGCTTTCGAACTGCTAGGTTGGCAGGAGCAGGGACCAAGCAACAGGAGCTCACCCCGTCGCGGGGATTCAAACCGCCGACCTTCTCATCAGAAAGTCCTAGGCTCTGTGGTTTAACCCACAGCGCCACCCGCGTCGCAAACACCACTTAGGTACTCCTTAAATGTAGAACAGTTCATGCATTCTTAACTAAGGAAATAAACCCTACTCAATGACCTTTTTTGGTGTTGGGAACATTCACCATATTGAACCACCAGCACCCCACCTGCAGGCTGTCTTGACACACATCCCCAGCCACTCTGGGTGACTCCCAACAGAATTAAAAGCACAATAAAACATCAAACATTAAAAGCTTCCCTAAACAGGGCTGCCTTCAAAAGTCTTCTAAAAGTCAGACAGTTGTTTATTTCCTTGACATCTGATGGGAGGGCGCTCCATGGGGCGGGCTACACCCCTGAGAAGGCCCTGTGCCTGGTTCCCTGTAACGTCACTTCTCACAGTGAGGGAACTGCCAGAAGGCCCTTGGAGCTGGACCTCAGTGTCCGAGCTGAATGATGGGGTGGAGATGCTCCTTCAGGTATACTGGGCCGAGGCTGTTGAGGGCTTTAAAGGTCCCTAAGAACTAGTTGTCACTTTAACATTTCCCTTTTTATTCCTCCTCTCTGTAGTTTGCAAGACCCCAGCATGCTGGTCTCCAAGGTCTCCTGCTCATTACTGGCTATACTTCTTGGGTTTCTGATGGTGCAGTCATGTGAAGGACAGTCCCGAGAAGATTTTGAGTGGAAGCACACTGATTATCCAAAAAGCTACTCAACTTCCCACCCTGACACCTACTGCAAGCGGATGATGCTTCAGAAAAGGTTGACTCGATATGTTTGCAAGGACGTAAATACCTTCATCAATGACCGCCCTGTAAATGTGGTACAAGTGTGCAGAGGCAGAGGGATTCCTCATGGTAGTGACACCGATAGCATAGACTCCTTCGATATGGTCATCTGCAGATACACAGGTGGTCCGGCTCCTTATGACTGCAGGTACAGCGGCACACCTGCACACTTGCGCATTCGTGTGACCTGCACCGGCATTTACCCAACACACTATGTGACTCAAATGCGCTAGGCAATGTGTGGTACAACTCGCTCTCCATTTACAGAAGCCAGAAGTCTGAGGATGAGTTGGCTACAATTTTATTTTCTGTCATGCTTTCTCCTCAATGTATCTCTGCAACATGCCCACAATATAAGCTTTTACTGCTTTAATAGTTACTCACTTTCCCAGGGAATCCTGGCAATGTAGATCTTCAAGGAGCAGCTGCGGGAAATACCGTTGTATGACATTTCTTTACCCCTGTTCCATTATACCATGGATAAGCAAACTAAGGCCTGGGGGCCGGATCCGGCCCAATCGCCTTCTAAATCTGGCCTGCAGACAGTCTGGGAATCAGTGTGTTTTTACATGAGTAGAATGTGTGCTTTTATTTAAAATGCATCTCTGGGTTATTTGTGGGGCATAGGAATTTGTTCATTTCCCCCCCCTTCAAAATATAGTCCAGCCCCCCACAAGGTCCGAGGGACAGTGAACCGGCCTCCTGCTGAAAAAGTTTGCTGATCCCTGTATTATACCTTCCCAGTTTCTCACCTTCTCAGTTCTCCCTTTCCCAACCAGAAATAGTGAACACACACACAAACACACACACAATCTGAACCTCTTTTAACCTGGAGAGGCATTGCCCATGACCCCAGCCTCAACTCCAAACCCTGAAAGTGACACAACAATTCAAGAGACTTTGAAAAATGCCGAGCTGTTGCTGAACTAATTAAAGCAGCATAAAGATATTTATGGTTGGGTTTATGGTCCACACATTGCGCAAATCTGGTGCTGCCTGGTTAGGACCTGGGACACCAAATCCCCATTCAGCCATGAAGCTCACCTTGAGGCAGTCACTATCTCTCAGTCTAACCCACAGAAACCCACATGTGAAATTACATGCTTGCGTCGTGCCTTCAAGTTGTGTAGCTGGGCATAGAATTATATGTGCTACATTTATATCTGGGGTGGGGGACACACAATATATTGTAGATGGGGTGGGAAGATTGATCAACTAAGATGAGCTTCATACCAGAGACTGGTTTATACATCAGTTTCTAGAGAAGGAAGAGAGGGTGTTGTGTGGTGGTTAGTTTAGAGGGTCAGATAAGGATTGTGAAGACTTCAAATAATCACAGACATCCCCAGATGAGCTTTACACAGAATTGTTCTGAAAATATAAAGGAGGATGGGGGAACAACCAATGTCACCTTGGGCTCCCTGGAGGAAAACAGGCGATATAAATGCAATAAATAAATTAAATAAATGTGGGGTGGATATGGATGATCCCATTCCATCTAACTTGATGGTGCAATTTTACTTCCCCTCTCTCTTGTTTTTATCTGAGGACATTGCAGAAACCCACCTGTGAAATTCCAGGCTTGCGCCATGCCTTCAGTTTCCTCACCTCAATAAAACTTACCTTGCCAAACTGGAGTCCAACGTTATTTACTCAACCCTCAGCCAGAATTATAGGGGGCAGTTGTGGGGAAAGCAGTTGGCAGTTAAAGGGATTGAGACATCATTTCTAAGGGGCCATTGAAGGGAGGCAGGAGAAGGCTGAGGAAGTATCTCAAAAGTCTTGATTAGAAAGCTGAGCCTTTCCATTATTTCACATTTGGCATATAGCACACTTACCCTTGTACCAGTGTGTGTGCATTGCTGCATAGAACCAGACCCTAAAACCACCTCTACTGGGTGGAATGTGCCCTCAAACTCTGACAATGCTGTTTGCTCACCTGAATAGAGGCAGGAAGGAAGGATTGGTGTATGTGTGCAGAAACTAGGCTAATGTACAAATATAAAATCCACATCTGTTGCTCTTCTGACATTGGCCTCTGGCCTCGCCCACCACTCAGGGCCGGATTTAGGTTCGATGAGGCCCTAAACTACTGAAGGTAATGGGGCCCTTTATATGTTCAGCTGTCCTTTGTCAACAACAAATTGTCGCTGTTTTTTTGTGTTGAATATATGCTATATGGTAATTTATGGACCTATATAAAGCCATTTGCACTTAACAAACTATGTATTTTATTTATTTCTTTATTTTTTAAAAAGCTGAATCGAGACATTCCACCCATGCAAAAAGGACACAAATAATTAAATGCCCAGGGCCTGCTGAAAGAGTCCATTTTGCCTGTTGCCTAAAGATATGTAAGGATCACATCTGGTGAGTGCGCTCTGTAAATGGGGACCCGCCACTCAAAAAGCCAATTCTCGTGTTGCCACCTTCTGGACTTCCCATGGAGTGGGAACACGAAGAAGGTCCACAGATACTGATTGCAGAGTCCAGGTCAGTTCAGAGAGACAGACCTTGAGGTATTAAGGCCCTGAAGCACATTAGAATTTATAGGTCAGAACTAGCACTTTGAATTGGGCCCAGAAACTAATTGGTAGCCAGGTGGCCAGGATTGGTATGATATACTCAGACCTCCTTGCAAAAGCAGATCTAGGTGAGTGTGACCGATTCAAGGAGCTTCTGGGGTGTCACGGCAGATGCCAAAACTATGAAGTCCAACGAAAGGCAAGAGGCGGGGAACACCAGATTTTGGCATCACACAGGACACCACTGAAATTTGAGATGCCAAGGTCCGCCACTGCCATCTTGTCCCGGTTAGCAACCTGGTAGCCAAATTCTGCACCAGCTGCCATTTCTGAACCATCTTCAAAGGCAGGCCGGGCCTATGTATAGTGAATTGCAGTAATCTAACCTAGAGATTAACGGAGCATAGACAACAGAAGTTAGACCATCCCTGTCCTTGATTCAGACTCTGGAGTCTTCTTCATCAACTGGGTGGCCTTGAGAAAAGTACCCTATCTCAGGTTAGCCCACTTCACTGGGTTGTCATAAACATAAAGTGACACAGCTCCATGTACACTGATGGTTGGGGACCAGGCTATCTGTGGAATAGACTGCACTCATATGATCAGCATATGAGGCCTACCAGTAAAAGTTGCTATCTTCCCTCCCCCGGTAAATATATGTGGCCCTATCAAAACTAGTTTTTTAAAGAAAAAACTGCAGACTGCTTCTTATTGTTGCAGTCTTCAGGTAATCAGTTATTGTCCTATGCTTGAAGAATTATTGCTGCTTCTGATTGTAAATTATTATAATTGCATTGATACCTTACTTGCCATTGTTTTCAGCTTTATATGTGTTTAAAACATTTATTTCAGTGATGTCGCCTATCAGTAATGCCCACACAGTCACCTCAACATTTTGAAGGAGAGAGAAAGAAGGAAGGAAGGAAAGAAAGAATGAGCTCTAACAGTTTATTCCTCATTCCAAAGGTGTTAAAGAAGGATAGAACGTTTTTTATGTATGCAACTACAGCAGCAAGAATCCTTATCGCCAAATATTGGAAGATTCAAGATTTGCCCACACTGGAAGAGTGGCAAACGCAATTGATGGACTACATGGAGTTGGCCGAGATGACTGCCAGGATCCGAGATTTGGGAGAAGAAGCATTGGAGGAGGACTGGAAAAAATTTAAGGACTATTTGCAAAAATTTTATAAGTTATATGAACTATAGGATTTTGCATGATTTGGAATGTTAGCTCCAGCAATGAGAGTGGAATACATATGAAATTAGATAATATTAATGAAATAATCAATGTTTAAATGGTCAAAATGATAATATGTTTGCTTATAGAGTAAATGGATAATAAGGGATTTAAACTTAAAATGCAATTGAAAGTACAAAAGAAACACATGAAACAAGGTTATAACTTGCTGATAAATTTATTATCAAGATTGCACTGTGCGGGAGATGTGGGGAAGTTCGATAGAAAATTGAAATAAGTTGTTGAAATAACTTGTCTTTTTTCTTTTCTCTTCTTTTCTTTTTTTTCTTCTTCTTTGTTTGTTCTATACTGTATATCTCTATCTGGAAAAAATGCAATAAAATTTTTTTTAAAAAAATTAATAACAGTTTATTCCTCATTCCACTGTATTTCTCATTTACGGGAAGCTTTGGAAACATGCAGCCAATGGTGCAATTTTCAGATGAAAGCCCTCTGTCCTCCTTTCACCATCTATATGTTGAAGGGCTTGATTCCCCCCCCCCCTCTTTCCCCCTCATCCTGGCCTAACTGAAACCTATATAATAATTCAGACAGCAGCTTGAGATACACTTGCTTCCAGAGAAAGTGGCATCCTGTACCTTGAGACTTCTCTGAACTTGGGTAAGTTGGAAGTGGACATTCACAAACTTGTGCCTGCTGTTTTACCCTTTAAGGAAACTGAACTTTGACTGTCCCATGTTAAGGAAGCTTTCTCTTTCTTTAGTGGGTAGGGTTGAAAGGATTTTCTTCTCCCTAACTTTCTCTCTCTCTCTCTCTCTCTCTCTCTCTCTCTCTCTCTCTCTCTCTCTCATTTCTGAATTGCCTTTTGTATGGACCTCAAGCCTACCATAAAAGCAACTAAAAATATTTTTTAAAAAACAGTCCAGAAAACAAGGAAGCATATTTACTAATGGATATATTCTGTTGGGGCTCCTGACAGTATCGCCAAGTTTATGACATCTGGCATCTTTATTGTGTGGTCTGTTATTTGGAAGGACTGTGGCCCAGTGGCAGACCACATGCTGTCCATGCAAAAGGTCTCAGATTCAATCACTGGCGTTTTCATCTTGGACTGGGAAAAGACTCCTGCCTGAACCTCTGGAGAGCCACTGCCAGTCACTGGAAAGAATACTGACCCAAATGGACAAATAGCCTGCCTCGTTATAAAGCTGCTCCCTAATGCACTGTCTTCCAGTGGCTGCCAGCACTGTGCTTGGCTTCTCTGAGAATTACATCTTTAATGTTTTCTCCTCCCCTCCTTTTTTTCTTTTTCTGTATAAATATTGCATTATTGCTCAAAAAAGAGTACAGTTACACAAATAATACAAGTTACCAAATACAAAAAAGCTACTAATAGGAAGAAAAAATACAAAAAATAAGAAAATGATACATATTGAAAAGAAAAAGGAAGAGAAAGAGAGAAATCAAAAGGAAAATAGAAAAAGTTGACTTCCTTCAACCACTGTACAGTTTATATGATTTGATATCTTTAGTTGTTTGTAATCAATTTGCATTAATGGAGAGACTATTTGTTTACCTGTGGAATTTTTAATCTCTAGAGACTAAGCCAATTATAATTTTGGGAAACGACTTTCTTCATAAAATTCATGAAGACATCCCATTCTCTCCTGATTTTTTGCGTCTTTAATATTTTCTAGCAATGCAGTCCACCCACCTTAAATTAGTTGCAGAGCACTCCTACAGTTGTGGCGTATGTCTTGGGGTGAAGCCACCCACCTGGCGCTAGTATCAATGCTGCTTTCCTGGACAGGGCTGGGACAGGGCAGTGGCATGGTTTGATCCACACAAGCACATCAGCAGGAATACTAGATTGGTCCTGCCAGTGCCACCATGTGGCCAAAAACTCTTGCTGCTACCCTGCCCTGCTCCGAGCCCTTTCAGGTACGTAGCAGGAATGCAGGTGCCAGGAGGACAGCTCCACCCTATCACACGTGCTGTGGCTACTGCACATTGAGCTGATAAATCCTGATTCTGGGTTATAACAAAGCTTATAAGATAAATGTCCAGGGTATCACATGACAGTCTGTTCCTAAAGATACAGACAGACACACACACACAAAGATAGAGAGAGAGAGAGAGAGAGAGAGAGAGAGAGAGAGAGAGAGTGTACCAGAGCTGAAAAAATGAAAACAGAATAATGCCATTTGGATTTGAGGGTGGGAGATAACGTTTGTTTATAGAAAGTGGCTTCATAGGGTATTATATTGAAGTGGCTGAAGTGAATACTGTTTATATACAGTGGTCAGATGAAGAATCAGAAGTTCTTCCATTTCTGAACTTTATTTTTCCCCCTCCCTCTCTCTCTCTTTTACTCTCTTGTCTATTTCTTTTTCTTTATTTCTCTCTCTCTCTATGTCCCCTGCTTTTCTTTCTCTCTTTTTTTTCTATGTTCTTATTGTATTTAGATCAATGTTTTAGTTTTGGACAAAAAATGAGATATTGGATATTTCTCTTTATAAATCCTAATAAAATGTATTAGGAGCAATCTGGGGGAGTCTTAATCTCTTCTGTCAAAACCCCAGGTTGACCATAATTTACCCATGGGGGAAATTTTTGGTAGTATTCAACTAAGTACCACTCAGAGTTAGTCATACTCATTAGTTTCATTGGGTCTACACTGAGCAGGACAACTGTTGGAATACCACCTTTTATTTGGCTAACATATAAAGGCCAATCTGCTTAATTTGCACTTTTTAAAAGAATATGCGAATAGAAACACAGAAAGTTACACTTCTCTGAATTTTGCAATGCATTTCTCCAACCAGAAATGCTTATATTACAGAAATGCTCATATTAGGGTGAAGTGCACATATAAAGGCATATATTCATGAAAATAACATGTAAAAATGCATTATATTAGAGAAAAGTGTTTTGAAAGAAATGTGCATTTTAGGCAAAACTGCAGACAAAAATGTTAGGAGAAGCTGGTGCTAAAATGCTGCTGAATATTTTGAGGGCTTTCTAAATAAATAAATAAATTGCAAACAAATGTGGAAATGCGGAGAATGGAACTTAAAGTTTGGGAGGGGTGAGAAGCATCCCTATCCTGGCGGAAATGACTGGCAGAATCCGAGACCAGGGAGAAGAGTCGGTGGAAGAAGATTGGAAGAAATTTAAAGACTATTTACAGAAATACTGCAAAATTAATGAATGTTAGAATTATGTCAGAATGGAGTTAAGTGGTTTTAGCAGCAATGTTATAAAGGTGTATGTAAAAATGGATTGTTAACAGGTGAGAATCTAAAGTTATAATATATTAAGTTAAAGGATTAAGATAAAGACAAAGAGGGGAAGGAATTGCTGAATTAACTAACTGAATTGGAATACAAAAAAGGGAGGTGTGAGGAGGTCAGGGAAACAAGTAAATGAAATGTAAGGCATGGAAAGATTGATTTGTTTTTAAGTGTTTTTTATTTTTTCTGTATTCTGTATTTTTTCTTTTCTCTGTTTTTCTTTTTTTATCTATGTAACCTTTTTTTGAAACCTTAATAAATATCATTTTAAAAAAGAGAGAGAGAAACATCCCTATCCGTGCCTCTTATTTTATTCCTGAAGAAATTCGCTCCTTGCTTTAAAATATCCTCCTCTTCTTCCTTCTGCTCTATAGATTCAACAGCCCCACCATGATCACCACCAAAGGTTCTTGCTGGCTGCTGTTGCGTTTGGCCGTCCTCCTCGTGGTTCTGCTGGTGCAGTCCAGCGAAGGAGCAAGCTACCGGGATTTTGCGAACAGACACATTGATTATCCGAAAACTGCAGCAAACAACCACAATGCCTACTGCAACTTGATGATGGCTCGGAGAGGACTGAACAGGCCGGTCTGCAAACCCACCAACACCTTCATCAACGGCAGTCCTCGCTCCGTCCAGGCAATCTGTGGCAGTGGGGGAACTCGCTTCCGGGGCAATTTATATACCAGCAGGAGGCGCTTCCGTGTGATCGTCTGCCGCAGCACAGGAAGATTCCCCAACTGTAATTATCGTGGCAGGGCGCAGTCCAAGCGAGTCCGTGTGGGCTGCAGAAATAGACTGCCTGTTCACCTTGACAGATTAGTGTGATGCAACCCACCATTCATCCACAGGAAGCAGAAGTCTGAGGACATTCTGGCAACCGTTGAATTTCCCTTTGCTTGCTGCTTTCTCTACCGCTTAACTTTGAGGGCATATCCACACTGCAGGCTTAAAGTGGATTAGCAATAGTTCCTTCCTACCCTGGGAAATGTAGACCTGAGAGGAGGGGGCGGGGGTCACTAATGAATATTTATGGGCGTCACTTCTTTGATCATTCAGTTCTTTTTCTTTGCTTTCTGCTTTTCCTACAATGTAACTCCACAGTGGAGGTTTAAACCCAGTTTAGAAATAGTTCCTTCTCCCCAGGGGCCCCTGGGGAACTGTAGGTCTGAGAAGCGGAACTAGGGGAATTAAACTGTTCCTTAGTCAGATCTTTTTCTGTGTGGTTTTCAGGGTTTTGCCAAAGGTGGAAAGATGCCAAAGAGGACGGCACAACTTTTGCACTTTTAGTGGTTGGGTACTAAAAAGAATAATCACAGAATGTGTAGCTCATCATGAAAGCTAGAACTTCTGAAATTCCCTCTTTTACACAGTGTGTAGGACACCCTGCTGTTATCTCTTCATCTCCTCCAGCATCCCTTCCTCAGCACCCTCATCTGAGAAACATCATGCATTTCAAATGAGTCAATTTGTTCACTGAGAAACTGAAACAGGGGTGGAGAATCTGTGGCCCTCTAGTGGCCATTTGACCTTAACTCCCATCAGCACAAGCTAGTATGATCGATGGTTATGGATGATGGGAGTTGTGATCCTGCAATACCTTGAGGGCCACAAAGTTCCCCAATGGCATTAACCCTCTGCTTCAACCAGGCATGCATATTGCTTGATTTCTGTATGCATCGTTACTCCCTAGCAGTGACTGGAAGCTGAAAGCATGACCTTCTCCTTCCATACAGATACACTAGGGAATGCTGCCTGAGAGAAGACATTCTCTGTGACAGTCCCTAAGGTGTTAAATTCCCCTTTCCCCACAGGGATGTTTCTGACACCTATATTACAAAGCTTTCACCTTTGCTGAAGACTCATCTCTTTGCCCTGGTTTTCGACACCTGAGATACTTGTTTTTAGGATTGTAAATTGTTTCAAATGGTTTTAATCCTTTATTGTTACATTGTGGATGGTATATTGGAACGATATGATGAATGGCAGGCAAGAAATCTATAATCAATGTTAATAAATAACACTTTTTCCTACCTCCTCCAAATATGTATCAACTTGTAGAAGCCTTTACTATCATAAGCACCCTTGCTTTAGCATGCAATAAAATGAATTTTTGCAAATGCAAATACTGAAACGGTGTATCTGTCTCTAAGAAGTTCTTAAGTGTGGAGGCTGTGGCAAACTCTGTAGTGTGGGTAATGCACTCTGCGCATGCCCAGAGAATTCCTTCTTCATTCTATGGAAGTGGTTAGCTGTGGAAGAGAAATGAGTACTTGTGTCTATGAAGTAATTCATAAGTACTGGGTCCATGCTTTCCTTCGCCTTAAAAATCCCTGGTCCAGAATGGGATAACTGTGCCCCTAAAGGACCAGGTATGTAGCCTTGTGGTCATTTTGGACTCACAGCTGTCCATGGAGGCACAGGTCAATTCTGTGTCCAGGGCCACTTTCTACCAGCTCCATCTGGTATGCTGACTGAGACCCTACCTACCCACCCACTGTCTTGCCAGAGTGGTGCATGCTCTGGTTATCTCCCGCTTAGACTACTGCAATGCGCTCTACGTGGGGCTACCTTTGAGGGTGACTCAGAAACTACAACTAATCTTGAATGCAACTTCCAGACTGATGACTGCGAGCAGACACCGGGAACATATAACACCAGTTCTAAAAGATTTACAGTGGCTCGCTGTATATTTCCAAGCAAAATTCAAAGGGTTGGTGCTGACCTTTAAAGCCCTAAATGGTTTTGGCCCTGTATACCTGAAAGAGCATCTCCATCCCCATCATTCAGCCCAGATACCTGGTCCAGTTTTGAAGGCCTTCTGGTGCTTCCCTCGCTACAAGAAATGAAGTTACAGGGGGCCAGGGAGAGGGCCTTCTCTGTAGTGGTGCCCTCCCATCAGATGCTAAAGAGATAAATAATTATACAACTTTATAAAGACATCTGAAGTTAGCCCTATATTGGGGAGTTTCTAATGTTTGATCTTTTATTATTATTATTATTATTATTATTATTATTATTATTATTATTATTATTCAGTTGGAAGCCTCCCAGAGTAGCTTAGGTAGAATATATCATGATGATGATGATGATATTTTGGCCCATTTATCCAATCTCTTAAAGTCATATTGAATCCCAATTCTGTATTCTGTGGCATTAGCTACCCCTCCCAGATGTGATGAGCATAATCTCAATTCCTGCATCCAAGTAATTCATAAACAACGGGCCCAGGAAAGAACTGTGCAGCACCCCACTTGCCACTTTCTTCCAGGGTGATGAGGAACCATTAGTGAGCATTCTTTGGATTCAGTCAGTCAAATCGACCTATCCTTGTCCAGAAAAGAAAAGAAAAGGGGGGGGGAGAATTGCAGAATGGAATGGCAACAGAAAACCAGTATATCAAATTACAATCCTACATCACTAAGTATCAGATGATATTTAAATACCCCAGGCATTCTGTTGGCTTAGCTGAGAAGTGCTTGTACTCTGAACTCTTGGTTGTTGTCACTGTTTTTCAGGGCTGAACGTCTCTGGAAATTGGGCAGATAATTCTGTGAAAGTAGATAAGAGCAGTCCCAGCAAAGCGTGCCAAGTGTGAAACCTGAACAAGCAGAGCATAGGAGTTTCTTTTCTTTTTCCTTTTAAAGGGCCAGGAGCATTTGCTCAAATGATGGTGCCTACAGTTGTTCCAGCTGTCAATACATTCTGACACATCATCTCACTGATAAATTATTATCTACAGGCTTCTTTCTTTCCTTTGGAGTTGTTGTGTTACCAGCATTAATTTCCCTCTCTAGGCTCTCTAGAAGTCAACAGTGAAAGCTTATCCATATCTACCCAGAAGAAAACATTTACTCCTTATTTTCTGACCCATCATCACCCTGGTATATCCCGTGCCTTGGTCTCCCCCCGTCATACTTTTGGGAGTGCCTTCTGGATAGTTGGAGGTGTTGAAGTTGTTGGGAGCATTTGGTTCCCTCTCTAGGCACTCCAGAAGGCAGCCTGATGCATATCTGACCCACCAGGGCTCATCTTACATTCAACATGCAGAAATATTAAGATTAAAATTGGTTGGGGCATCAGCTGCTATTTGTCCACTGTTGCTGCACCGTTAGTTGTGGAAACTCTCCAATAAGCTTCTGAGATTTGCACTGAGTGAGATAAACATCAGGTGGATATATATACTCAAGAGTCCCTTGACCAATGAATGAAGTTGAAAAGTAAGAATTTCCCAATTCAGAGCTGGGAGAGTGCCTAACTATATTGGAAGAGATCCATATTTACAAGAAGAGAGCAGTCACATTGCCACTCAAAAGCTTGTGTACTGCAGAGAGATTCTTCAACCTTATGGAATATAAGTGGGATCTCACTAAGCGTAAGTGATCAGAGGAGACCAAGATAAAGTCATTTCCCACCTGAAAAGTTACTCTTGTTGCTGCCATTCTTTCTTATATATACGGTAAGTAGGAAATCATCCTAATCAGTCTTGCTCTGAGTCTGTCCTTTGGTACCTATCAGTAGTAACAAGATTTGCAGAAATCAGCAGGTGAAGATAAACAATATTACAGTGATACCTTGGGTTAAGTACTTAATTCATTCCCGAGGTCCGTTCTTAACCTGAAACTGTTCTTAACCTGAAGCACCACCTTAGCTAATGAGGCCTCCCGTTGCCATTGTGCCGCTATTGTGCGATTTCTGTTCTCATCCTGAAGCAAAGTTCTTAACCCAAGGTACTATTTCTGGGTTAGCGGAGTCTGTAACCTAAAGCGTCTATAACCTGAAGCGTCTGTAACCTGAGGGACCACTGTACCTGCTAAGTTTTCTCCACCACTGGCTCTATCTACAGCCCTCTCATTGATGTTTCTTTCCCTGATTATGGAAATATGTTTAATGTTTGTTATTGTGGTATGTATTTTTGTGTCTTTATATTGTAAACCACCCTGTGATCTTTGGATGAAGGGTGGTATAGAATTTTTACTAACAACAACAACAGCTGCATTGCAAAATTCGGGGGAAATGTGAATTTCAAAGGACAGCAGCGTTTTTGTTTGTATTCTGTTTCAGACAGCCTAGAGTTCATGGATTCGCTTTTAAATGTGAACTGAATCTTATTTCTTCCTTATCCCTAATTTCAGCCCACCAGCACTACTACCTGAAGCCTGAAATGGTTCACTCTAGACTTCTACCACCTCATTTTGTATATAGCCTTGTTTTCATCTTACACAAATAGGCATCACTTTAACATTCCCCCATTTATTCCTCCTCCTCCTCCTCTCTGTAGATTCCAAACCCCCACCATGTGGTCCTCCAAGGTCTCCTGCTCATTGCTGGCGCATCCGGCCATCCTTCTTGGGCTTCTGCTTGTGCGGTCTGGTGAAGGACAGTCCCGAGAAGCTTTTGTTTGGAAGCACATAGATTACCCCAAAAGCTACCCAACTTCCCACCCTGACACCTACTGCACGCTGATGATGATGCAGAGAGGGATGACTCGATATGTTTGCAAAGAGACAAGTACCTTCATCAACGACTTCCCCATAAGTGTGGTGCAAGTGTGCAGAGGGAGAGGGACTCCTTCAAGTAACTACTTTGACAGCACAGACTCCTTTGATATGGTCCTCTGCAGATACACAGGTGGCCCACCTCCTTATAACTGCAGGTACAGTGGCAAACCCGCACACTTACGCATTCGTGTGACCTGCACTGGCAACCATCCGACTCACTATGTGACTCAAAGGACATAGGCAAATGGTGATGCAACTCATCCTCCATCGAAAGCCAGAAGCTGTTGGACATGTTGGCCCAAACTCGGTTCTATTATCCTGCATGCTTTCTCCTTGATGTATCTCTGTAACATATCCACAATTCAACTTTTGCTTCTCCAAGAGCCATTTGCTTTCCCAGGGAACCCTGGGAACTGTAGTTCTTCAAGAAGCAGCTATGGGAAATACCTTTGGGTGACATTTCTTCATCCCTTTTCCTTTTGGCCTCTCTGGGTATCTTTTCCCTCTTTCCACCATGATAATGAAAGCATCACCTGCTGCGTCCCTCTCCTCAGCATTTTCACCAAACAACATCAGATTTATAAGCAGAAGTATAAACATGCCATGTTTGTTCCACCAAGGGATGGATGACAAATTCATTTTGATTCACATTTTAATGTGGCACTACCTAATTCACATCTTCCAAAACTGCATGGGAACCAAAACATTCGAAATACATACTTCTCTGAATTTTGCAATACAGCTCTTCATCCGAGTTATGCTGACCAAAATGAGTATAAAGTGGTACCTTGGGTTAAGTACTTAATTCGTTCTGGAGGTCCGTACTTAACCTGAAACTGTTCTTAACCTGAAGCACCACTTTAGCTAATGGGGCCTCCTGCTGCTGCCGCCGCTGCGGAGCACGATTTCTGTTCTCATCCTGAAGCAAAGTTCTTAACCTGAAGCACTATTTGTGGGTTAGCGGAGTCTGTAACCTGAAGCGTATGTAACCTGAAGCGTATGTAACCCGAGGTACCACTGTACTAAGGGAATGTGAGCCTAAAAATGCACATATCTGTGAAAATTATATACAGAAATGTATTGTATTCGGGGGGTACTGCTTGCAAAAATGTGCATATTGAGGAAATATGTACTAAAATGCTGATTAACTGGAAAAAATAATAATAAACTGGAGCAGAATTTAAGACTGGAAGAATGAGAAACTGGGAGAAATTTATATGAACAAATTTGTCCATCCCTATTTGTGCCTTGGCACTAATTTTAATAGCTACACCTCTCACATAGGTGGCCCACTGCTGCTCTCCAGTGTTCACTATGTGGCATCATACTCCTCTTCTGTTCTCACAGGTAACAAGCAATAAACTTAGTAAACATCATATCACATACACCAGGCAGGGGCATATGAAGGGGGGCGGAGGAGGCGGGTTGCCCAGGCACCACTCTGAGGGGTGTGACAAGATGGCCCACTGCCTCCCCCCAGCTGTAGAGCGGCCAAGGGCGCACGCACAGTTAATATGGGTGCCGCTCGAGTAGCGTCCGTATGGGCTGCCATGCATCCGCAGTCCGTACGGGGTGCTGCTCACACAGTATCCTTACAGTCTGCTGCTCACACGGCGACCATATGGGCTGCAGT